TTAGCACCATCACAATGATCAGAATGTCCCTAAGACTGTTGGAAGGGTAAGGTCGTCATTAAAATCTTGTCATGTGAACCAGACATTAGTCACCATGAGAGCGTGATTTTCAGGATTGTAAATATTTCTATAATGTATTTCCGAAGGAAAGTCTTCTTTGAGCCAGCTGACAGTGTGCAGAAACAACTAGGGAGTGTTGTGTTACACCATAATTCACTCAGCTGATGGAACTCTTTAAAAATACTTTAAACAGAATTTAACATTTCTGTAATTTTGAAAGCACAGCTTTTAGGATACCTTGATACAGGTAACTGATGCATGCCTAGTTGCTATAGTAACCCACGGCACCATAAAGCTATGTTACCCAACTGCACCTGTGACACATGAACTTTTTTCCTTCAACAAGCAATGTAACATCACACAGCTGCTGAGCATCTAGGAGCTGCTTTAACCCTAAAAACACAGAAAGAGACCGAAATTAGAACACAGGCAGGAATGGGAGGAGAGACAGACCGGCGGAGACAGAGACCTCCTCACCATGGGTAATGTAGTCCCCCAGTGGGGTGGTGCTATCATCTGGGAAGTCCTCCTCCTCTGAGTCGCTGTCTGAGAGAGGCTCCCCTCCTCCCCCGTCCCCGTCCTGCCATGGCTGGGGACGCCAGGTGACTGTGCCCCCGCGCACAGCGTTCATCTGAGGAGCAGACACAACATGAATTGAAAACATGGTCTTCTGCTAAAAGGAACGGAAAAAAGGATCACCTTAAATATTTTTTACTGGGATAAAATTAATGACTGATTTTTTACATTCATGTACATGTAGGTTCATATTGATTTTTCCAGCTTCTATGTTTATTTTTTATTAAATTCTGGGTGTGAAAGAGTTGAAAACCAAGCTCCAGTGGTAGCAACGGTTTACTGCTTTATGTACCTTTGCTCTTCTTCTTGTTTCCACCGTGAAAGCTGTCTGGGCCTCTCTCAGCAGAAAAAAATAAGAAGTCCGTTTGGAGCAGACAAACTGTGAAAAAGCAACCGGGTTGTTAATGGAAACCTGGGAGCATTTGAATTTCCTCCGTCCTCTGGGCTCAACCGAATTGCTTGTCCCCCGGCCTGTAATGCTGCCTCGTTAGGCTAGTTTCTGCTCATGGAGCCCGGTGTAACACCATCCCTACCTACAGACCGACAGGGTAATCTCACAAGGAAACTCTTGGAGTCTTATCTAAAGATGCATATTTGCAACGCATATCTGTTTCCTGAAACAGAGAGCCACCAATACGCTCAGCTGGAGGGTGAAGCGGTAAAAAGTGGAGTTGTGGCCAGAAACCGAGCCCGGACTTGAGCTTCCGTCGGCCGCTCTTGTCATGTCTGAACCGGATTACCGCAACGTTCGATTGTCGCTCAGTCTGATTGGCTGAGTTTGCCTCGTGACAATTGTTTGCTGATGATCCGTTTCCTGTCGAATAGAAAAAGTTATAAAAATATATTTATATATAATATTTTGTAAAGGGCACCTGAGTGCAGTTATTTTGGTTTAAAACCACGGGATTTTCGTTAAAATCCTGTGATTTTATGTTGGTAACAGTAGCTATGGTAACAGAACCTGAGGAGGTTTACAGCAATGAAGGAAATGGTTAACAATAAGGCACAAAAATGCATAAAAGCAACTTACATTTAGGTTCAGTTAATAAGGGAACAAGGTAATGGCGATTTAAGTATATTTGAATTTCTTAAAGTGTTTATGAAAATTCCGATTGCTTGCATATTAAAGGAATTGTACCAATGCTTAATAAATAGTAAAAACGATTGTATTTTTATTTTTTCTTGTTTAGCTCTTTCTGTAGCTGGTAAGAAATAAAAAAAATAATAATTTTCTTGTTTTTCATTTTTTTCCACAATATTTGTTTCCCGCCTGATTTCCGCATCCGTGGGGCATTCAAGGTAGATACCGAACAGTTTCAGTCAGGTCAATAAAACTGAAAAAAATTCAAGAGACAGATCCATACCGGTCTATGAATGCTCTGGCAATTACATAAGAAATATATTGATCCTTTTGCATAAAGGCAGATTTCTTAGACCTGTATAAACCAGGTGTAAGCTTTTATGTCCAGCTTATGTGTGATCACAAATTTTCCATGTGTAAACCCTTGGCTCCTGTTTTGTCTTTTAATTTTTTACCTTTTATTTATTAAGTTATTTATTTAGCGCATTTTTCATAGGTTTTTGAATGACAATTAATTCTAAACTGCAATGCTCTCTAATATATAAATAAAATAAAGAAAGCAATGTAAAGTTTGAATTTTAATTTATCCCACTTTTCTACATCCTATACGAACTCAATAACATAAGTGCTAAAACGTTCAGCGGGAGTCTCAACTGATGTGAATGAAGCTAAATATTCCGGGGTTCCATGAATGCAGCATGCTCTGCATGAGAAACATGGCGACCTGCATCGGTTTGGTTGCAAGAGTTAGAGTCGTCACTCTGACAGTGTTACAACCTATAGGCAGACAGTTGTTTTCCAGGCGGAGGGGCTGCAGTGTTGTCCCGCATCGCCTCCGGCATGGGGTCCGCAGCAGTCTGTACGAGCATGTCCTGGAAGGCTACAGCGACAAGCCCGAGCTGGACATGGGAGCGGTGTGTGAGGAGACCGACAAAGTCATTGCTAATGTGGAGAACAGGAAGGGTGACCTTCGAGGCGACGATGTCAGGAAAATTGTAAGGCATTTAAACTGTCACAATGTCTTCTATGCAGCAAGTAGCTTTGTTTAAATGACACTGACTTACCTTCCCCCCTCGTACTTGTATTGCTTCAGGTGAGTGTGTGGCAGGAGCTCCAAGCTGTGAGGACAGAAATCTCTGAGCTGGAAAAGGAGAAATTACGCATCAGTGAGACAGTCAGAACTCTTGTGGTGAGGTTTATTTTTCACCAGTTAGAAATTGAATCCACAAATCTTCATTTATATATGCTCTGATCTGATTCAGCTTGACTTGATGCGACAAGATAAAGCAAAGAAATGTCAAGTTTATGGCAAAGACACTCAATCGGATTAATCGTGATGAATTGATTATTGAAATAATTGTCAACTAATTAAGCAATCGATTAATCGCTAACTTTAATATATAGATTCTAAAATATACAATTTGCTGAAAGAACAACTCTGTAAGAGCAACAATTAAGTTCACAAAGAATATACATTAAAATTAATAACCTTTTTTGGGTGTAAATATGTTCTGTACAGAGGCCCTGAAGTGGCATAGTTTTAGCTTCAGCTGGTTCAATAACAATAATAACAATAAATCTCTTATTATGTAGTTTTTACTATCCAGTATAAAATATGCTTAAGCAGTTAGATGAAAAATCTGCAGAATGTGCCTGTTTCTAAATATTCTTATAATTATTTCTACAGAAGCAAAAAGACAAGGACGTCCTCGCTAATGTAAGTGCAACCTCAGGACCCAGTTTCTCTTTTGGTTACTCCAAATGACCCGGTGAGGTTGAATGTATTGCATCTTTTATGTCTGACTGAGTTGTTTCTGCTGCAGCTTCCAGAGTACACCCAGGCCCTGCAGAAGGGCCGCGACGTCCGCAACAGACTGAACCAGCTCTACCTAAGAGATGCCGAACTGGACCAGGAGCACTACAGCCAAGCGCTCCGACTGCCCAACAACACACACCCTGATGTGGTGAGAACTTAACAAACTAATCCCAAGCGTTTCTAATGAGGTTTTGGTGTGCAGCACAAGTTGTGGAAGTGAAGTTTCCCTTTTCGTCTTTTTTTAAAATTTTTTAAGCCGGTTGGAGATGAGAGCCAGGCTAGGGTGGTGGAGTTGGTTGGAAGGAAAGCAGGTGAGTGATGTTAATGGTAAATTAAAAAATGGCTTTAAAGGCTTTATTGTTATGCTTACCAAAGAAAACGGTCTTGCTTTGTTTGCAGAATTTGACTTCAAGCCTCGAGGCCACGTAGAGCTCGGTGAGGCGTTGGGCCTCATCAGGCAGAGGTAGGCTGAAATTCACCCAGTGTGCTCAATACTTGTGTAGCACAAGTGAGAGTGTTCATAGTCTGTCTGTCGTCTGCTGCAGGCATTTGTCTCACGTCTCCGGTCACCGGTCCTACTATTTGAGAGGAGCGGGAGCCAGACTTCAAATTGCACTCCAGAACTTTGCTCTGGACACTTTGCAGCGACGGGTACGATTATGGTTTGGAGAAATCTTCTGCAATCGATGCGAAACAATTAAAGTCATTGTCCACGGACAGAAAAAGCAGTGACAGCTGAGTTTTCTTCCTCTGCTGTAGGGCTTCGTTCCCATGGTTGTGCCGGACATGCTGAAGGCGGTGGTGTTTGTGAGTATCACATATGTCAGCTACAGTAGTAAAATCTTACTGAATGCCAGCAGTACGGGCTTAAATTAAATGCTTCTCAGATTGAGCTCCAGCTAGTCGTATGAAGCCATTTTTTTTAAGTCTTAATCTATTTTTGTTTGCAGGGTTTGGAAACAGTTTCACAGGCTGAACACTTTATTTTGTGAACTTAATGAATCTGAGTTTTTCCTACCAGTTTTTCAAGACTGTTCGCAGCAAAACAGCCACTGTCTTGGCTGTGGCAACTTTCTACCTGTCAGTCATGTGCCTTGTTCTGCAAACTGTTTTATTATTTCTTCATGTAATTTAAGTCAATTACAAATTACTCAAAGTACTTTTATAGTCTTGTTTTTTTACTTGAAAGATTTCGAGTCAGCTTGTGCTTTATTTTGATTTATACAAGTAAACTTTGGATTAGTTTGTATAAAGAGCAGCTGAAAAACAAGTCATTAAATTTTACATTCACACATTTTGCATCTGCAGAATTAAGACGTTAAGTGTGTTCTACCCAGAACTCTTCATGTGGCCTAGTTTTAGTTTCACCTGGTTCGAATTTTGTAAACAATAATAAAAAATAAAAAAAACTGCTACTAATGGTTAATTGAAAAAATCAGTCAATCAGAAAGGGCTGAGCTTGTCACATGTTTATGTTCAAGACATCCTGATTAGTCCATCTTGCCATCTTTTTTCTGTAATCAAGAACAGAATGTTTGAAACTTTGCCTCTAAAATATTTTTTGTTTTGTTTTTTGTCCTGCCTGCTTTGGTTTTCTGTCCAGGATTTCAGTAATGTCTCCTATCCTCTCCTGTCTTCCTCCCCAGGAGGGTTGTGGGATGCAGCCGAACGCCCATCTCTCTCAGGTCTACTCCCTGGACCCGGCACGTTTCCCAGACCTCAACCTGGCTGGGACAGGTGAAGTCGGGGTGGCAGGTGAGGCTTTGCTCTCCTTTACATTGTCATTACACACACACACCTCTGTTCCTCATGCTATCGAATAAACGTTATAGCTCTTTAAAGGAAAGCCGGTAATAAATACCGAACATTTGCATTCCCCTTACTGCTAGAAGAAGGTTTGTGCATAAATCAGTGTTGTGTGCTTCATTTTTATTTGTATTTCCACAGGTTATTTCATGGATCATGCAGTAAACTGGAAGGACCTGCCAGTCAGGTTAGAAGCTCTCCTCACTTCTTCATCCTTCAGATGGAGCGACTCCTATCTGTAACCGTGGCAGCGTGTCGTCTCTCACTGTAGGACGGTGTGCAGCAGTACCTGCTACAGGGCCGAGACAGACACCGGCAGAGAGGCGTGGGGACTTTACAGAGTTCACCACTTCAATAAGGTCAAACACAAAGGAGGTCTTAACCTGGGGGAAGATTTTAAATGATCCTGAGAGGGAAAAATCCAATTGAAACAAATTAATTTTATTAAGCTGAGAAGCTCTGTTACAGTTCCCTCGTGTTGCACTTCAGGTTGAGATGTTTGGAGTGACGGCTAATGAGACGGGACAGGAGAGCTCACAGCTGTTGGAGGAATATGTCTCCTTGCAGAAGGAGATGTTTTCTGCGCTGGAGCTTCACTACAGGTGAGGAAACAAACAACTGTGCAGCATCAGAGATGATCTGAGATCACACATATAAAATGCAACAAAAATGTTGAACTTTTCAAATTTATTTCTTTTGGAACCTTACCTGAAATAAAAATCATCTAGATATGTTAGAAAACATACTAAATCCATTTTAGCTTCACTGCAATTAACTGGATTAATAAATAACAGATTTTACTGATGATCCACATTAAGTTATTTAAGGTTAAAAGTTGGAATGTCCCAATCAGAATTTTTATTATTTATTAGATTTAACATTTTGTCAGTGTCTACTAATGTGACTAAAGCTGTCATAGATTTATCATCTGTTTTTAAAAATGTAATTGAGTGGATGAGACATTAATCTCACATTTTGCTCCTGCCGGTGATATTTTAATGCAGAGCATTTTTTGCTAGCGCTAGGCTAAAGTTTGCAAGTTTACTCTCTACGTTGATTTGACTTGTTGATAATTCATCTCAGTGTTGTTGTAGACATCTATTTGAGTCATGAGTACTTTTGTTGATATTGCCGTCATTGGTTTGGTTTCAGAGTGCTGGACATGCCCACTGAGGAGCTAGGCCTTCCCGCCTACAGGAAGTATGACATCGAAGCGTGGATGCCAGGGAGGAACAGCTACGGAGAGGTCAGCCTCATTACTGTCCCTAAACAGTCCGGATACGTCAGACATCTTTAATCACATCTGCTGAGTTAAAAACAAGCAGCTGTTGCTCTGAACGACTGATCAGGTTGATTTCTGAAGAGCTCTCTCCTGTGTATCAGGTTTCCAGCGCATCCAACTGCACGGACTATCAGAGCAGACGCCTCAACATCCTGTATGAGAGGGAGGACGGCAGTCTGCAGTACGCCCACACGGTAAGGCTGCAGACCACTGCTGTGCGCGCCTGCTGCTCCACATTACACCATAAATCTACAGACTACTATTTCTCTTCAACCCAGGTGAACGCTACAGCGTGTGCAATTCCTCGAATGATTATTTCCATCCTGGAGACTCATCAGACCAAAGTAAGGCACAAACCGCTTACATGATAAAAATGACTAAAATGACTAAATGTCATACAGTACAATCGAGTAATTTAATAAAAAATTGCCCTGTTCTCTACGTAAGCTAGTAGAAAAATATATGAAAGAAAAATGGTGATAAAACATTTTTTTTCTCAATGTAATACATTTCAAATATTACTTAGTCTCAAGGTTTAAGTATGAAAAAGCTTTTGTGAAAGTGTAAAAACAGATGAGAAATAAAACATTTCATATTAACGTTTATCAATTTAGAAAGCTATTGGCATTAGTAATCACTGATGTGAAAAACTTTAAAAGAGATCTTCCTCTCCGTACAGGAAAAATATTGCTAAATAAAAAGGTGCCCACTACACTAAAACCATGCATCATTTTGCTCTGTCATAATTCTGCGCAAATTTGTGTTGGTTTATCACATACATTCCTAATTAACTACATTTTGTAGTTGTAACAGGATGCAACAGTATTCAAAGCATGTGAACACTTTTTTTGTGAACACTTTCTTTGCGCAGTATGTTTACGGCTTATGAAAATAGTGTTCTGTACAAACTCTCATCTTTTGTCCTGTGCATGCAAATATTTTCCTCCATCTTCAGTTTTTTGGTAACTGACTTGGTGACTGTATGTCTTCAGGATAGAACCGTGCGTGTTCCTCAAGCCCTGCAGCCTTATCTGGGTCTGGAAGTAATAGAGCGGCCAAAGTACGCTCCTCTGAAATATATTGGACCCAACCAGCACAGTCGCCCACCCAGACCTGGTCCTAATGCCAGATGAAAACCCAACCAGTCGACGCTTCTCCACTCAGACGGAGAGAAAAACTTGAACACATCCTCTTTCTGGTGAAACAGAGCAGTGCTGCTGAATTATTAAAAGTGGAAATGCTGTATGTCCTTTTTAATAAAATGAAATAAATCACATGGGTATCGTGAATTGTTTATATTTCTTTCTGAAGAGAAGAAGTTTAGTTGGCTTTTAGAATAATACATCTTAATATAACCCTGATGGTTGGTCACTGTCAAGAGATAAGTGAAGAAAAAGCCATTGATTGTCCTTCATGGTTTTCTGTTTTTCAAAAAATTGGGTTGCAGTGGCACACATCCAATATGGAGACCCAGACGTCCCTCATCCCGGAGTTTCCCAAGGTGTTCCCAGTCCAGGTGGGATATTATCCCTCCAGCAAGTGCTGCATCCTTCCCAAAAGTCGGATCTGCCCGGAAAAACTCCAAATATTTGCCCTTTTTTTTGCATCATCTTGCTCTGTATGTGAGATAAATGGGCCTTTATGCCACCTCATATTAACACCACAGAGGAACACAAAGTCTTGAAAAATGAATTCCAAGAAACTTTGACCAACAGCAAAGTGCAAGTAAAAAAAATGCTTCTCTAACATTGTTGTAGGACATTTTAGTTGTCTAAAACATTTACAGTAATGTGTAAAATTAAAGACTTTTGACAAATCTTTTCCAGAGATTAACTAGTCTAAATAACCAAAGAGAAATTGGTCATATTTCCAGACCAATACTGTAGTGATTTATTTCATACTGTGTGCAGAATATAAGAAGAGCCAACAGGGTGAAGATGTGCTTGTCTGGGCATTGAACTGTATGAGATTTTTATTTTATTTTAATGTGTAGGTCTGCTGTTAAGACCCTGACAGCAGAGCAACACTTGACTTTCTGGCAGCAGTGCTGGGCTCTGATCTGGGCTCGGTCACCTGATACACACACACACCGCTGCTCGGCTCCACCTCACACTCAACGGGTGTGGGAGGAAGAGCCAGCCCAGCATTTTCAAGGTTATCTCCTGCAGGATACTCCTCTCACGGATCCTATGGGAATTCTGATAACCGCGATTTTTCTCTGGGCTGCTGTCGGAGGTAGGCGACCATCACATTTACAAGCTGCTCCGTGTTTATGTACATCTCTGCGTGAGGAGGCGGTGAGGCTGGAAAAGGCGGGTATGGGCTGATATCTCTCTGGATGAAAGCCTCCCGTTTCTCGCTCTGCTGCAGTGCTGCATCAGCTCAGCTGTTGCCGACAGGGCTACAAACAGAGAAATGTTGTTTATTGAACGAGAAGAAACCAGGTTCGCTCACCTATTGACGAAAACCCTGGAGGGTTTAGAGTTAATGCGCTTAACGAGCGACGTTACATAACCCGGTATGAACACGTCTAACCTTCTGTTTCAGTGTGTGTCGTTGAACGACCGCCGGCTGCTGGGATGTTAACATTAAATAGATAAAACGCAGTCACCTAAGCTCACCCGCACATTTAAAGAGCCAATTAAAACCCCGCACAGGTGCGCGCGTGCTGTAGCAACACGTGCCAGCACCTTAGCCGTCCACCTTTGAAGTGCGCTAATTAAACATGTTAAAATATAAGCAACAAAATGAGCCTGAAGCGAGCTTACGTTCATTTACATCGCGTTTAATTAATATTTTTATTCAAAATTACGGGATTTTATGAAGAAAGCAAAACTAAAAACAGGCATATTAAAATGGGATTAATCTATTTAACTTATTTGTGATTAAAACAAATAGGAACACCCTGAGATTTTATATTCCCCAAGCAGATTTGGGGCCCCATTTCCGGTTAAACCCATTAGCCACCGCACGACCACTTATATCCCTTTTGAACACTTCAAGCTTTATTTGTTTTGAGAGGGTGAGTGAGTTTACTGGTAAACATGTACTGATTGATTCATATTCAGTAAAAATATACATTAGATGTCAATCCAGCACAGAAACAAGCAGTAAACATACCAGATGAAATAAGGAAGGCAAATAAATCTGTCAATACAGTAAATACTTTCCCCTGTAGGTTTACGTTAAAGTCCTAAATACACTTAACAGAAATGCTAAATTCTTTAAATCTGCTTTTCATGCACCTTAAAGCCAATTTAAATACAAGCTCCTGCTTCATAACTATAAATTGAAACTTTTGACATCTGTGGACTTTTTGAGACGTTTAGCATTCTCATGGGTCATCTTCTGGCCTTGAGGATCTTCGCAGCGGCCTAGTTTGCCTATGCCATGGACCGGTTAAGCATTGAAGGTTAAAGAAGCAGTAGGTATTAGTGTGAGGATACTGGTTTCACAAGAACAAAATATTTTAACAATGTTTTTGGGAAAACAAAGATATTATGATAATTTGCTTTCAACAGGGAGCCACCAGCTGTAATCTTGAGGTTGCTTGCAAATTATCTATATTATGTCCATCATTTTGCAGCTATTTCTCTTTTTTCTACAGAAAACTGGGTAGAGCTGCTACTAAGTACCAATATAAACTATTAAATCACACCCTCTAACGCAGCCTGTGCTAGTTGCACTGTGACTTATTCTGATATAATTCAAAATAAATTCAGGCATTAAGGGGTTAAATGCAGGTACTGGTGCAAATAGGATAATCTTCACATTTTTACATTAATGGACGGGTCAATCATAGTTTTGTTTAGACGGTTAACAGAGAGGTACTGATAAACCAATCAGATGCATAGTGATTAGTCACTTTAGACCAATGGGTAATCATCGATTGTTTTTAATCTTTCTAAATGTTTATATTACATAAATAACATAATTAATATTAGAAGAACTTTGAAATTTACTAGAAGGTCTGAGGAAGAAAATAGTGCTTCTAAATGTTCCCCATGGTCGACCGCCATCTTGACGCCACCTTTCCTGTAAAGCCAATTCACTCAGTAAAATTTTTGATGAATAAAACTACTAACAAAGTGCCTAAACACTGAATTTTAAACTGTGATCTGTTAGCGATAATAAAGAACCAGCTTGGAATTCAGTGATTAGGCACCTTGTTACTAAATTTACTTAGCTTGATTTTTTTTTTTTTTTCAAATACAAAAGTTAGTTATTTGAAACATATAAAATTAAATTTTAAGAACAGTGTGATTTTCAAAGTGCTGTCAGCTAAAAAATAACAACAGATCAGACTTCACCTTCTGATACTGTTTATCTGTTAGAATATTTATTTTTTTCTGGACTTTTTGGGCACATTGTTGAGCCGTAAAGACTCAAAAGAAATCTTGTTCAGGAGCAGCGAAGAAACTTTTCATCAAGACATTTGTAAAGACTACAGGAAAGTAGGGCTTTTTTGGACAAAGCATGTAAGCCTTGGATGTGGATTGAGTCTTTTCACCTTGTATTAAAGTTCATGTTTTGGTTAAATTGTCTTCCTTTGAGAAAAGGCACAGAGGGAGCTGTTTAGTGTGCCTTTAATGGTACGGGTAGTTGAGGGATTGGTCACTGATTTAGCTCTGGTGGGAAAACTTCCTGTGAGCTAAAGCCGCCTTCATCTCGGAGCGAGAGGGACGCAAAGTTAAGCGCCTTTGCAGTGTTGCTTTACTGGGGTAACTGCACTCACCTTAATGAGGGAACAGCTCCGCCCATGCAGGATTAAAGACATGCAGTCGCTCAGCTGCGGCGCTGTCAGGTGTTGTGATCACTAAATGATTGTTGGTATTTCTTGTAATTAACATTCGATCTTGTTCTCTGTTCCTGCTCTGTTTGCTCTGGTTTCGCAGTGGGAAGCCGACCAGTTACCTCACCCCTTAATGATGCAAAGGTCAGGAAGAAGCCTTCTGTATTTACATTGTTGTTCAGCTTTTCTCCTTCAGGCATTAACTGCTCTGTTTTTTGCCAACAGGTTGAATGTATAATTCAGGAGACACTGAATGAAGACGGGTCGCACCATGAGTGTGGATCCCAGCTTGCAGGTAGAAGAGACATGTTGTATTTTCTTCAATATCCACAATATCAGCTGAAGATCTGGGTAGAGTGGGAAAAAAAACTGAAGTCAAGTTTTGTTCGTCTCATCTAGATGTATCGCACAATAACAGTCTAATTGTTCCATACATGCCTGCTGCAACCATGAACTTTGGTGTGTTTTACTTTGATTTTGTTAACAATGCAAAAATAATGAATATCTGAAATGGAAGGAAATAATAATTTATTGTTTATATAATTTAAACTCTTTAAATTATAACTGAGGCAAACTTCACATTGTTTTCTTTCATCAATAACTTTCTTCTTGTCATTAAAAAAAAAAGGAAGACCAGAAGAAATAGTTCTGCACTTCACAAAAATATTATTTAATGTCTTAATTCAGCAGATTCTGAATGAAATTTGCAACACTGGATTTTATGTCTGGTACAGTCGGAATAAAGAGGGCTGAACATAAATGCACACCACACTTTTCAGGTTTTTATTCATACAATCTTTTGAAAACCATGTAGTGTTGTTGTTCTACTTCCCAACTACGTAATACTTTGTGTTTATTCAAAAAAAAGATCTCAAATACAATGCAATGAGGTTTGTAGCTAAAGTGTAACAAAATATGAAAAGACTCATGCAGTGTGAATATCTCTGCAAGGCACTGCTGCTTCTTCTTCATGTGCTCCACTGTTGTTGCAGAGGAACTTAACGAGGTGCAGAGACACCAGGGTCTTCTCAGGGAGCTGCAGAAGCTAGCTGATGACGGTAAGAACAGACTCCCACTGACAGCTGCTCATAAATGTAGCAAAACATGGAAGCGCTAATTTTATTTCTCATTGATTTTACTAAAGTCAGAATGGAACTGACACTGCCTCCCAATTTTTGCAGAGCGGGAGAAGGAGGAGAGGGACGAGTACAATCTGGCCGATGACAAGATCGAGTTTGAGCAGAGGGATGAGGAGGATGAGAGAGATATGAGAAGTGATGGAGAAAAGACAGAGGATGGAGAGACCAAGAGGAAGCCACAGACTGACGATAATGAAGAGGAGACATCCAAAAAGCTTGAGGAGTTGCTCGCCGACGAGATCACCAAGAAAAGTGAAGAGGAGAAGAATGATGAAGAGCTAGAAGAGCTGCTGAAGGAGCTCAAAACGAAGCGACACAAGGCTGCGAAGGAGAACCAGAAAGGCTCTGAAACAGAGGCAAGAAAAGAAGTGGAGGAGAAGAAGATGAAGCAGAGCAACGAGGGAGAGGATAAAAGAGCAGAGGACTTAGAGAAGCAAAAGATGGAAGAAAGGAAGAAGAATGAAGTGGAGCTGATGGTGGAGAAAGAGAAGGTGGAGAAGGAGCTGAAGGAGCTACTCAGGGAGCAAAGCAATGGCAGCAAACCGGAGCAGGACAGGGAGAGGAAGGAGAAGCAGGAGGAGCTGGAGGAGCTTGTCCGAAAGATGAAACGGGTGCAGGAGGAGGAAAAGCAGGAGTCGCAAGGCGGGAAGAGCAAGGATGGTACAGACGAAAAGAACGAAGACAAGGAGGGCGGAGAGGTGGAAAAATCAGACGGGAAAGTCAAGAAGACGAGCGAAGCGGCGGGGCTGAAGGAGCCGCTGCAGAAGAGAGTGATGGAGAAAGCCAGCGATGAGGCCACACGGCAGTTTGAGAGGGAGAGGTACGAGGAAGAGGAGGAGGAAGAAAATGGAGAGGATGATGATGAGGAGGAAGAGTTTGTTAGAGAGGATGAGGATGAAGATGATGAGGATGAAGGGGATCATGAAGAAGATGAAGGGGAGGTGAGTTAGAGCAAATGGTATCAGTTACACTTTCAAACTATGATGGAGTTCAACGTTTCTTCTTTTTCATCTAATCCCAAAGGCAAAATGTCCAACGTAACCGGAAACTTAAAATAAATATTAACCATTTTTACTCTGTTACACACATGGAGAAACATATTTACATCCCAGTTTAGACATGCAAAAGCCTTAAGATAAATTCATTTCTTATCGCAGCAGCAACTTCACTCTGAAAATGCTCAAAAATTGTTGAAAATGTGTCTTAATGCTTCATAAGATCTCTAGGTATTTTAGTTTTATGTTCATAACAAATGTATTGTTGAGGCATTTTAAAAGGGTCCAATCTGTATACAGAGATTTGCAACAGATCTACCCAATCATTTAGACAGGTTTGAGCATCTCATAAGCAGTGGAACATATCAAGTTCCTTATGTTAGGTTCAGAAGATATTTGCTCTAAAAGTTAACTTTTTACACATCCTTAGAGGTTTACTAGACATCTAAATCTTGACATATTTTAACAATGAATTACAACAAGAAAAAAAAAAGAATGACCTGGATATGAGATCAGGATTTCTTTTTCCTCAGAAATAATCTTAACATGATGAGCTACTTAGCTGCACACAACCAGATTGACTGTAAATGACTTTAAATTAAAATGTGTTTTATTTTCATTCACCAGTGCCGTATAAATTTGAAAACATGTTGAAATATTTAACAGTACTCTATTGGTGGTTCTTTAAAAATGACCCCAAATTTACTGGAGTAGATATTTATCTAAAATTATAAGCTGTTTTTCAAAATTTTTCCCCCAAAAACGTCATGTGACAGTTGTGGCTCTAAATGGGTTTCATTTGTTCTGACCTGAAAGCAGAAATAACTCTTTAGGTTGTAAAGGTTGTAGACGGGAGTTTTAAGGAGAGCTTAACATTTCGATCTTGCTTCATTTATGCCCACCTCCTGCAGGGATTATTCATATGTTTTCCTTCCTACCACCAGGAGCTCCTGGAGATTGAAGCAGAGCTGCGAAAAGTGGCAGCAGAGCTGAGGGAGCTTCGCAGAGGATGAGCAGCTCACCCAGGGAGCAGGCCGACTGGCAGGCCCCTTCCCTTCCCCTTCTGCTCCCTGTTCCAGTCGTGTATTACAATCACACAGTCATCACGGCACTCAGAGAAACGTCTTTAAATGTGGATGTCAGTAGAAAGTGTGCGTAATGCTTTATCGTGTTAGATTGCCAGGATGGATCCGTCTCGGTTTCCTCAGCTGAATGAGGCGGCCGTCTGGAGATTCTGCAGGTTCACGTCCATCTCTGGTTTCCCTGTCTGTGTGCTTGTAAATGCTGTTTGTAACAAAGACAGGGTACTTTTTCCACTTAGTTGCACTTTCACAAGCTCATGCACTTTCATTCAAATGTTATTTTGAATGCACAATACTAGAAATCCCTGCTCTTCTAATCTTTGTTTGAATTGTGTTTTTCTGGGGAGACGACCAGCTTCCCTGTTGGTCATTTGTAGACATTTAGTGCAATAACTGATGACTAAGTTCATGCTATCTGACTGTTATCAGCAACAATGCTCTTATTAGGAATAAGTCATTACTTCCTCTTCATTTCTTTGATGGTCCAGTAGAAGCATGGATTAATTTGGCTCACGCACTGTTAAAACCAGACTGTTTGTGACGAACCCCAGTGGCACGAGCCAAATTCGGAGTTAACTATAATGTTGCACACCCGAGGCAGGTTTGTCATTAGTGTGATTGGTGGTGCGGTGACAGAATAGTGATGCACTCAGAGCTTAAAAGGTCTAAAAGTGTCACTCGGGGTTCTAATCCAGCTTTGCACTCTCAACACGCCAAGGAGCAGTCGAAGAAAGGTGGAGGGACACTTTAAAGCCATGTGTTGTCTTCTAGTAACAGCAACAGTAACAGTCCGTAGTTTTCACCCCGTTTGTGTTAATATTACGTGTGCGCCTGCAGCCAACGTTTTATGAGATGTGGAGCAACAGCCCCCCCTGGAGGACGCTGGGTAGACATGCACAAAGAGCAGGGGTTAACAGAGATAGCAATGGAGGCCCACTTGCTGCAATAATGCAATATAGATTATAGCACATGTGAATGCAATAACTAGCCAAGTGTATTTAATATGTAATCGAAACGCATCATTAGGTATTCCTTTAGCAAATATACGCCCTCCGTCTTTATAAAGCCAAGATTACAGCACATGCATGTGTTTAAACACTGGTAAAATAGTAGGTCAGGTTGTATGAACTTTTAAATAATAAGCTAATAATACTAATATAGTCTTCTCCAAAGAAATCTTTTTCCAAATGTGCAATGAATGTACTATATTTTTCCTTTTTATATAGAAGTGAAAAAAAAAAAATTCCACAAAATGTAACCCTAGAAGCCAGCCAGCAAGAAAGCAAAAAAAAAAAAAATAACTAGTTTTTAAAGTTGGGGAATGAGGGAGTACAGAGAATAATCTGAATGGATGAAGTAATCAGAAACTGATAATACCACATATATGAGTTGCAATATTACTGCTCAATCACAGTGCTGTATTTTGTGCCTGCTGTATCCTTCTCTATGATATCTGTCAATCAATAAACCATGTATCAGACCATTCTGTGTGACCTATTTATTTGAGTTTTTGTTTGTCCTGAACTCAAACATCTAATCTGTCATCAGTGTCTGAGATGGCTGTAGAAGAAGCTGCTTTAACATGGCATATAATTGGACCGAGGAGATATGGATGTTTTTATTTCTGGACCTAAAGAAGACTTTTGACATAGTTAACCACAAAATTAATTCCTGGTATAAGCAAATCCCACTGGAGATGTTTTCTCTGAGGCACAGAGAAGGAAACTCTCTGAAGAACTCTCAAGATGAGAGCTTTTTTATTTCAATAAAAGAATGGAGGTGGTCAAACCAAAAAATGGTCATATGGATAACTAAACGTTCATTGTCTGTGCCATTAAATATAAATCATGTGAAACCAACACTAGGTATTGTTAGAAAAAAGTTGAGTACTTTTAATAAGTTCTCGAATTTAATTCAATTGATCTCTAAAAGGCTCAGCAGATAGAAAATATATTTATTTGAACAACAAAGCTTGTGTAGAAACAATACATCTTTGTAGGTTTGTGTCTGGTGCATCATTGGTTAAAATATGTTTCTAATAAAGTGAATAAACTTAACAAACGTCAGATACTCAACATGAGTAGAGTATCCAGAAATTTTACTGGAGTAACAGTATAATTAGAATAATACTACTGAACTAAGAATACGAAATGCAGTGTTGTAAAACATTTCCAAGCCTTTTTTTATTTCAAAAGAATTACTAAAGAGTAACAACCTGTTTCTACAAAAAAAACAAACAAACAAAAAAAACAAACAACAACAAAAAAAACACTGTGCACAATTTCGTTTAATACAGCAATACTTTAGGATCTACACCTGTCATTCAATTATAGGTACTTTTTTTTCCCTTTGTATTTTGTCAAAATTGCACAGCTTAATATTGTTATATCCGTTCGTTGTCCTTCTTCTTCTTCTTCTTCTTCTTATTATTATTATTATTATTATTATTATTATTATTATTATTATTATTATTAGTAGTAGTAGTAGTAGTAGTATTCCTTATACATGGAAATTTTCCCACTGAGGGGCAGAACATGGCCCCCCTTGGAAAACGTCGTGGATCCGCCCCTGGCGGAAAAAACCTGCGGACCCAGAAGCCCTCCAGAAAGAGTGGTTGGAGGCCTCAGGAGGAACGAGAGTTAACATTTCCCACCTTTAAGTGCATCTTTCGTGTTTGACCCTCCTAAAATGGCCACCTTTTAGTCAGGTGAAAAGCAGAGTGATTAACTTCCTTGTTTCCTTGTTGCTGCCGCCCAATGACAGAGAGAGGAACGGAGCGGCTCTGAAATGTAACTGAAAGAGAAAGTAAAAAAGAAAAAAAAAACTCAGGGAAGTCACTCCATTATCCTGCTTTATCATTCAGCGACAGCGCAGCCATGCTGTTTCCTGACTGCTAGTTCCTAAAAGTTTTACATTTATCGACTATCCGAGGCGACGCAGGTCAAATCAGCCCCCCGCTGAGTTCATCTGAGGTGAGACCGGAGGAGGAAAATGTCCCGCGGCTCCAACGCTGGTTTTGACCGACACATCACCATTTTTTCACCAGAGGGCCGACTCTACCAAGTCGGTAAGGACCTGTTTCTGGTGCTCCAGCCGACACTAACACACCTGTGTGTGAGTGCTGTCTGTCAGAGGGACACTGCTGCGGCTGCACTTCGTAATAAAGTCACTGTTAACTTTTAGTAAGACATGAAGACGGTGTTGGCAGTTAGGTTAGCTGGTTTGTGTCTGAATGCTGTGTTAGCATCAAACTTTTACTTGTTTCATCTAAACTACACGCAGAATTTTTTATTTTTAAGTTTATTTGTAACACTTAATGTTACTGTCGGCACGTGTAACCGTAAACAGCAGCTTTTAAACATTAAAGAAGCACGCAGGTTGCCAGGTTTGGCCGCCTGACATCACGGTGTAAGGCACGGAGGCGTCAGTCAGCCCAACAACAAGAGGCTGTGTGCCAAACGCTGCCTCCTGACCCTGAGTTCATGTGAATACATGCAGCTTTACCTGCTAAAATATAACAACCAGATACATTATTCAGTTAGAATTAGGTGGCACACAGTATTTTTAATTCTGCTCTTTCTCTCTTACTCAGGGAATTTATTCTTATTATTACCCATGTGCATAAATTAGAGCGTTTTTATATTACACCCAGTCATCTGGAAAAGTATTCAAACCGCTTAAAAATAATACATGGTTTTAATTTTAAGTTTTACTGAAAAGTGTGGTGTGCATTTATTTTGTTCCTCTTAAATTAAATCAAGCACCATCAACTGCCTTCAAAACCCACCTGCCATATGAGATTTGTGTGTGTTTAATATATTTTCAGCATGAACTTAGCTGTTATCTGAAGGCCTCAGAGGTTTTTTGAGAACATTAGTGAACAAACAGCATCATGAAGATATGTCAGGGAGAAAGTTTAAAGCTGATTTAATTAATAAAACAACATGACAAGCTTTGAGCTTCTCACAGAGCAACGTTTAAGTCATCTGTCAGTGAAAGTTGTTTATTGGGACATAAATGGCGTAAAATACAGGGTAATAATGAAAGAAAACCTCCAACAGATAAAAAATAATGAGGCTACATATATTTAACTTTCATATGAGGTGTGTAAACCTGTGTAGGGTGACTCTGAATTTTAAATATTTGGCACCAAGATCAGAAGACATATTTGACATAAACCAAAAGCAGCATTTCTGGAAAAAAGAAAAGAAAATCCTACCAACTGTGAAGCATGGAGCTGGACGTGTGATGTTTGGGGAAGATTTGCTGCAGCAGAACCTGAACAGGAATTTTACTTTATATTGGAGGAAAAAGTGAAACAATCTGTAAAGAATTAAAAGCTGGAGCAAAACTGGAGTCAAAGCCCAGATATTGAAGTCAGTTAGACAAGTTGGGATCTAATGTAAAGAAAAGGTTGACTTTTATATTTTTAAGTGCAAATAAATTACTTTTTTATTCAGAGAGAAAAAAATAGAGTAGATACTTGTGGGAAAATGTGTTAGTAAAAATCCTTGAAACAAACATTTGTATCTGTCTCTGATTCTGTCTCAAAGTTTCCCAATATTAATTTTCAGAACAATATTCTATATATGAACATTTCTTGATTAACAACTGAATACTTCAGTTAAAATGTTTTTGTTTCTATAGAACAAATCAAGGCATGATTATGGTCGAATGGCCTAGTCAAAACCTTGATCTGAATCTGGGTTTCCATAATTTGAGCAGCATCCATGTCTTATTTATACTGATGAGATCAATTTATTTCAAATATTTGTCCTTGACATGAAAATACCCCAAATATTGACGGAAAAACGTGGAAATTCACATGTGGAAAAAGTTTTCCATTTTAAAATGTGAAATGCTTACACACCCTGCCTTCTCTCCTCATTTTGTGTACTGGTGTGCTCCCATGCAGAGTATGCCTTCAAAGCCATCTCTCAGAGTGGGCTGACATCTGTCGGAATCCGAGGGTCGGACAGTGTGGTGGTGGTGACGCAAAAGAAAGTACCGGTAGGATTTCTGACACAAACACACACATGAGCTAGAGCCAGTGAAGCTAGACACTGCTCAAGTCAGCAAAAAGCTGGAAAAACAACACTAGTTTATGAAGCTGATCAACAGGGTCACTCACATTACAACACCACAGAACAAGTTTTAGCTCATTTGGCCAGGTAATATGATAGATTATTCAGCATACTTTCAAATTTTTGAATTGATCTGATGTGTTTAACTCACATCTACAGAGACTTACCTGATTAAAGTGGATTTTTCTGGCTTTCCTTCGATTGCAGGACAAGCTGCTGGACTCCTCCACTGTGACCAACATGTTCCATCTAACCCCTCGCATCGGCTGTGTGATGACGGGCCACAACGGTGCGTACCAACGAGGGACGGTGCAATTAATTGACTTAACCGTGATGAATCTATTATTGAAATAGTCAACTAATTTAGTAATCAATTAATTGCTAGCTTGAGCACACAGACTCAAAAAGGGCCATTTTCTGAAAGAACAACATATTCAGAGCAGTAATTACACCAACACTGTACAAAAAGATTTTACATTTTGTATTTAAGATAAAAAAAAAATAAAAAATTCTGTGAATGTGTTCTACCCAAACCTCCTCTATTGGCATAATTTTAGCTTCAGCTGCTACATATTCTGTAAAAAACAAAAAAACTCCAATTAAGCACCAATTACTTATTGGTTAATCCAAAAAATAGTCAACAGCTTAGCCCTACACTCTTTCTGAACTTTTATCAAGCAGAAAGAGCTGAACTTTTCACGTGTCGACTTTGGAAGTATTTATTTTAACCGCAGATGCATAATTTGCAAAATTATTGACATTTTAGTCAACAAAATGTTTATTTCTTATGTAAAAAGCAATTGTTTCATTTGTTTATTTCATATTCTAATGTATTTCCAATATTATATAAAAATAGGAACAGGTGGTTAAATAAAAAAACTCTGTAGAATGTGTAGAATTTTTTTATCTGATTAATTGTCAGAATAGTCATCAGTTGCAGCCCTCGTGCCATCCGTTACATGTCGCTGTGATCTTCTTTGCCACTGACTTTTATTTTAAAGATGCAGGGTTACAAACTTGCTTGCTTGTTTTTTGTAGCGGACAGCCGCTCACAGGTTCACCGGGCCCGAGTGGAGGCTGGAGAATGGAAATATAAGTTTGGCTATGACATCACGGCGGACGTGTTGTGTCGCAGACTGGCGGATATTTCCCAGGTGTACACACAGAATGCAGAGATGAGACCGCTAGGCTGCTGTGAGTGAGGGCTTTTATTTCTCCTTAGCAGTGTTATCAACATAAAGTGTTTCAGAAAGACAGTTAAAAGTGTAAGAAACCATAAATAAAATGGATAATGTAGAATTTGTAGAAATGAAAGGTCATTTTGACCGTAAAGAGGTTTTTTTTGTCAAAATAAGTCACATTTTCTTGATTATGATTGATCTGTGAATAAAATGGTAAAAACAAACTGGATGAATAATATTTACAGGGACTGTGGTTTCATTTAAAGTCTCATTATTGTGTTTTGTGTTTCTAAAATCTGTCCTGTGGATCCCTGTAGGTATGATCCTGGTGGCGATGGACCCCCAGCAAGGCCCCGTCTTGTATAAATGTGACCCGGCAGGATACTACTGCGGCTTCAGAGCCACGGCGGTCGGGGCCAAACAGACGGAGGCCAACAGCTACTTAGAGAAGAAACTCAAGAAGAAGCCAGAGTTGAGCCATGACAGGGCGGTACAGGTACGTCTGAGGGAAGCTGGACATTTCTCCGGTCCATCACGGGACCACTATGGTCTTCAGTCTTTCTGTAAAAGATACCATCAGCAAAAACACTTTCATCGTTATGAAAGTTAAAACTTTTAATTTAAACTTTGAAATTGGGTCAAAAACCGATGGAGGAGTCTGTTGAGGATTGAGTTTGGTCATTGCAATGCGTCAGACCAGAAATCTGTCTCTAGAATAACATTAAAGTGCTGGGAACAATGTGAAGAGCTGATTGATTAACATGTTATTAATTCATAGTTTTGTAATGATTAATTTGTTTTATTAATTTTCTGTTCTTGCTGCAGATGGCCATATCTTGTCTGGCCTCTGTGCTGTCGATGGACTTCAAGGCCACTGAGCTGGAGATCGGTGTAGTGACCAAAGACAAGCCTAAGTTCAGGTAACGACTCTGTGATTACGACTGATTCTTTTTCTGGATAGTACAATTTCTTTAAAAAAATATATACTGACCCGTTTTGATTTCTAAACCTTATTTTGTCACAAAAGGTTAACAAAATCACAGATGTGGCACAAAGCTATTTTTAATGACCAACTTTTTAAAATGTTCAAACAGGCTAAGCTTAATAAATAGTGCTGCATTGGTAAAATAAATAAATAAATAAATAAATGAAAATAAAATGACAGTGTTGATAGAATCAATTGTACTTTGAGTTTCTGAAACTTCCAGATTGCCTTACAAAAGCTCTTTGATTTTCTTCATATTTAGTCACTTTATGATCATAAATGTTATGTATTTTATTGGGATTTTCTGTTGTGAACCAACACAAAAGAGCTTATAATATTATTATTTGAAAAACTATAATATTATTTTTAAATGTTATTTAAAATTATTATTATTATTAAATGTTAAATAATTAAATATTAACTAAGCCAATATAAATATCTGTTAGTATTTATAATATTTAATATTACATAATATTATTTCATTAACATTAATATTATAATTAATATGAGTTTACATTATTAGTTATTATTAAATATTATTTTTAAAAAATTTTAATATAAATATTATTTTTTATTTATTTAATTTTAAGTTTAGATTTTCTGTCAGTCGTAATCGTCAAAATTACAAAAGCAAATATAATAAAAATTGCTTGGAATGTTTCACTCTATGTGTGATGGATCTATACAATGTCTAAGTTTCACTTTCTGAAAATATGGAATTGTTTCACCGTAGTCTAATTATTCTGGAAGCACTGCTCACTTTCTAATTATATTCTACAATCTGCTGGCAAATAAACTCCTAATAAAATATACACTATAGTTTTAATGTTACAACATGTAAACATGTTTATGATATATAAATGCTTAAGAAAGGCCCTGTGCATCTTATAAAACCGTTTCGTCCTCACCTTTCTGTAGGACCCTGTCGGAGGCTGAGATCGAAGCCCACCTGGTTGCCATAGCAGAGCGAGAGTAGAGGCGTCCTCACTGGCAGCAGTCAGCCATTCTTTAGCAGGGGTGTCAAACTCATTTTCATTTCGAGCCGCATCGAGATCATGAATGTCCTCAAAGGGCCGGTTGTGGCAGAATGTATTAATAAAACTACCCATTAGCAAACTGTTCAAATTTGCAATTTACTTCTTAAAACGTAACAACTTTTTAACATTTTTCTCACATTGATGTAATTTGATCCTATATGAATGAAGACAGATTTGACTTTACTGATAATATAATATTTAAACACACGTAGAGATAGCTACGGTGGGCCGGATTTGGCTTGCGAACCTCGAGTTTGACACCTGTGCTTTATGGCATTTCATGTTCAGTGCAGCTGCACCGCCGATCACAGTCTGAAAACAGCAAACAGCTTCCTTCTCTCTGGGTATCAGGAGGATGGATCATGTGCATCTGATAGTGAAACGCTGTTGGAAAGGGTTGATGGATGCAAATTCAATTCAGTTGACAACTCCAATGAGGTTTTAATGATAAAATCCACAGCAACAATCCAACAGCTTATTTGATACTGTTTCTTTAGATCCTTCTAAATTCATCAACCAGGGGACTTCTTCCACCTCTGTAGCAACACTTCATAATAAAACAGGCTAGAAAACAGAATAATCAGTATCCTGTCTTTCTTTCTTATTGTAGATACTTTAATTATGAAAGTAGGGAAACTGTTCTTATGAATTAACAGATAACTGATGTTTGTAAGCAATAAATACACATTAATTCCAGTTACTTAGAAACAGGACAGCATCGTTTGGGTATTTCAGCAGGAGCTGAACTACTTTACGCGACCACCGGGTGGCAGTGTTGTGCATAAAGTCACCTTCTTGACACTGTTTCATAATTCCTGTTTACTTGCCTATTTACAGACCTCTATTTGGACTCAGGTCAACATCTAAACTTCTTATCCTTCTAAATGTGTGTGCTTGTTTATGTTGCCCTTTTAGGACCTTTTCTGGTGTAATCTTGTTGCGACCAAAGCCCGTTCTTAGTGTGGTGGGCCACCATTTTTAGGGTTTGCATTGAAATGAGTTTAGGATTAGGCTAGGGTTAGGTGTACAGGTAATAGTTAGGCTCAGGGCAAGTATCAGAGTTAAGGTTGATTTAAATAATAAGGAAAGAAAAACAATCATTTTATACATGAACAAAATCCAGTGACAAAACAGAAATGTTGGAAAGCTTTTATTTAGCTAAAGGTACATGCTAAGAACTTTGATGAATATCATACATGGTTAGTTTTACACAACCTTTAAAAAACAGGATTTAAAAACAGTCGAAGTTGCAAGTTAAACATCTTTATTATGCTTTTATATCTTACTTGTTTAAAAAGGTCTTTGGCAAACTTAATGTAGGGATTGCAAGAGAATAATTCTTCCATTTCATGATCTTTTCAAAACAAAATGTCAAACTAATATTGTCTAATAATATAAGCCGTGAAAGTAGGCACAATGAGGGATGAAGTGAATTTTCATTGATATTAGCTAATATTCAGCATTTAGACAATTATTATCCAATCAGAAAATAAAAAAAATCATATAAGAATTGTAACAGTTTATTTGAAGGGGGGTGAATAAGACTGTCATGACACTTTCATAAACATGACATAACACCTGTCATGAACATCAATAAGTCTTCATGAATAGTTATGACTGTTGTCATAAAGCGTCATTCGGTAAATAATGACACTTTTAATACAAAGTTGACATTATTCAAAATGTCTTTGTTATGACAACTTGACATTAACCAGGAAATCATTACTGTTTAAACTTTACCTTTAATAACAAAGTTACCTAATTTTTAAAGTGCAATCAGTAATACTTTTATAACAAATTTATATCAGCAATGATTTCTTGGTTAATGTCAAGTTGTCATAACAAAGACATTTTGAATCATGTCAACTTTGTATTAAAAGTGTCATAATTTACCGAATGACGCTTTATGACAACAGTCATAAATATTCATGAAGGCTTATTCATGTTCATGACAGGTGTTTATGACAGTGTCATGTCAGTCTTATTCAACCCCCTTCAAATAAAGTGTTACCGAATCTTCTGCTTCACTTTGTTAAATTTCACACTTTCTGCAATTAATAAATGACAACAATTGAGTAAAACATCATTTTTAACCTTGTTATCAACTTAGAGTTGCACAGACACCGCATCCCTTGTTGGAACCTGCTGTAGGAATAAGAGGAGGTGTATTCCAAGAGTGGATCATGATGTTGTTTGCAAACACAGGTGGGATTTAGTACGAGAGCCCTGCTTCTGTGAGCATCAGACAGCAGCCAGAAGACCTGCTGGTCTCACTGAACATGCAAAACTTTCTAATCGGATTCAGTGTCTCGCCTTGCTTTTTTGTTTATTTATGTAAAATAAAAAAAAGGAAATCTAGAAAAATAAAACAAGTCTGTTGTATGAAAATGCCCTGCTTTAATCCTATGCATCCAACTTGGCTACACAGTTTCAAATAAAGCAATACAGTGATCTTCACCTTTGGTTTTCTTACTGTTAGCCATAAATGAAGTTGATGTTGAAGTTATTGCCATGCTGAACTCTTTATCCTCACTGTGTTAACGGAAACCTGAAAAAAAAAATACACACATACAGATGAGAAGCTGTTAGAAGTGTTTTCTTTTGCAGCAGCATAGAAAAACACAAAGAAAGAACCCAAGAAAGAAAATAATTCTTTCCGCTCAGGAGATTAATTGAATCAATCTTTCATATAAATTTCCTGCTTAATGATATGTTTTTCTCTGAAATGCTAAAGCCCATTTAAAATCATTGTCACTTCAGGTGGTTTTTAAATCAGTTTTATATTTGCAGATTTCAATAAAAAATATTTTTTGGGGGACTTACAACAAGAATTATTTAAAATCGGAAACATTTTTGCATTTTTCAGTGAATTTATAAAAAAAACAAAAAACTTCCATGTTATGGGAAAATGAAAATTACAAAATCTTTTACAAATCCCGATTTTACACAAAATTGTACAACACAAAACTGCTTTAGACAATCTATCCGTACATTCATTCTTCCTTTATAAATAATTAATTGAAAACTCTAAATACAAAATAAGCAGCATTTTCAATGAAAAAGTCCCTTTTGCAGCTAAAGTATTTAATAAGTATAAGAATGAGATCAGTGCAAACATATTGTTTAATCTGTTGTTTAGGTTTTTAAACCATCAATTTGGTGCAAAGTGTTTCAGGAATCCCAACTTATTCATGTATCTTCTTTGAAAAGAATATTTCTTTAGAAATGTGGACTGTGGACGCTGACATTAGTCTTCGGGACATCTTTGCTTGCCACAAGATGTTTTACGTTAAGATGGTATTTCAGGCTTGAGTAGCTGCAGTGATAGGCTAACTCCTTTTTGCACAACTTGCACATAGCAATAGTCTTTTCCAGCATTTAATCAGATTGTATTCAGAAGCTGAAATGTACCCTTAGCGGGCAAAGACACCAGCTTCGTCATCCATTGCTGTTGCTCTCATGTCGTACCGGAACGGAGCAAGTATAAAGGTTTCCAGGCAGAATTTTTTCATGTTAAAAAAAAAAAAAATTACAAGCTACGTAATTCATTAACCCACTACAGTCGTGGCCCGAGTAAAACTACAGCAAGTCGAATGCCTGGTTTTGTCATTAATTGAACATGTCTGTTGCTTGACACTGTTTCAAATTATGCTGTTAATGTCGCTAATTTTCATAAACTTATTTCAAGCTTGTTTTCTTTGCTCTATCTTTTTAACTCAGAGGTGTTCTCCTGCTTCAGCCCTCACTGTTGGGCCACAGACCTAGTTGCCCCTTAAATCCTCAGCTCACAGACTCTCCACTCCTCTGCCTGTTTCCAAATCCATCACTACCTCCACACGTCTCTTAACCCTTTGCTTGAACCTCTCCTGGTCCTGATACCCGGCCACACAGCACAACGCAGCCTTTCTGCCCTCTCCCTCCCACCCCTTTGCATGAAATGTTGACCCTGTGGCTGGTGTCTCCTGGTACTGGGACAAGCTCGCCAAGCTGAGTGGGACCCAGAGCATTGGCCATGTGTGTGTCTGTGTCTGCATGTGTGTATGTGTTGGGTCACAGCGTGGGGATTAGGTGTGTGTGAGTGATTGCGGGTGACAGCGGCCCTTGCATTAGGTGCCCTGTGGCAGATTTTGAAGGCCTGTTTTAGACACACTAAGCTGGATTTACCAGCAGCAGTGTGTCAGCAGTGATGCAGCCTGGCTAGACCTCCTCCAGAACACACACACACACACACACATGGAGTCACACACACTCACAGAGACCCTAACTATCCATCTACCTGTAACCAGTCTGTCTGGTAATTCTTTTCTCTTTTGTGTGTTTGTTTTTGGTCTGCACTGGTGGGGCAGTTAAACCGCCGTTCTGTCACACTGACTCATGTTTCTGCAGGTTAGTTTACAGAGAACATGAAGAGACGGTGGGCAGCACTGCATACCGACTTCAAAACAAACACCAGAAATCTTTTAGAGCAATAAAATTTTGATAATCTTCAACATAATTACTGTGAACTCCCTTAAAATCCACAAATGCACTTGTTATGCGCGTTATGTTACCTAGTGGTTGAAAATTAGGAAGTAACAGAGACTAAGCAGCTAATAACAGAAGAGTTTTCATTTATTCTGTTAAAGAGAATGACAGTTTTATCTTAGAGTTTAACACTTTAACCTGCACCATTGAATCCTACAACTTTCCAACTGCAAAACATCTTTTCTTCTTGTTCAGTCATTTGAAGTTGTTTAGATTTTACCCTTCAATCAGAGGCCTCAGTGTCTGCATAAGTCACATCAGTCTACTGATGTAGTATGTGGACTACACACTGGTTCTGGTTTAGACCAACTTGTGTTATTCTATAACCCCTTGTTGGACAGATCATTAACATATTTCATTATATATCGTATCGTTTTTACGCAGATGACATTCAGCTCTAGTGCTTCTTCATAAATTCTTAATTCTTCAAACTTTTGAATTTCTTGAGTCCCTAAAAAATACAAAATTATTTACTTTCAGCTGATCTCTGACAAAACCGCAATTCATGGGATCAAACAAGAGTTTGACTTTTAAATTTTGCTGTCGATCCAAACTCAAGGAATTTGCTTTTGACCAATCAATGATGACAAAACATTAACTTGAAATACGCATTTATACTTTTATTTTCTCTCACCTAGGCTACTGTTACGTAGTTTTGATGTGATCAAAAAACGTTTGATTGCTGTTTTATTATGTCATCCTGTTATGTTAAGCTATGCTATGTCATGACACATGGTTAGAGGTGATACATTTATTAAATTTTTTTTCCTACAAATTTAATTAAGGTTTTTTAAGTAAATTAGTGTTTCACTGACTCACTATTTAGTGTAGAGATGATTAAATGCAACTGAGACACAAAGTAGCATAAGTTGTCGCAACAGCCCAAGTAGTACTTATTTCACTTCAAAATAAGACTGTCCATGTTGCTCTTCACATTCAAGGCTCATAACAGTTGAGACTGACAGCACTTTGCAAGACAAGATTCACTTTAAAGAGACATACTGATGCATTTTGAGCTTTCATTGTATCTTGTTACATCCCTAAAAAGTACTGGGT